TTTGGAAGTTTATCATCCTAGCACGAGGATAGGGCCTTTTCCGAGGGAATGAAGCCAGAGGGAGCCAAAACAGTCCTGAGAAACACAGCTTTTCTTGATAAACTCAGGTGAACTGGAGCCATAACCTCGAACTCAGTTTTGGCTATTCCCATAGAAGAACCATTATAGTGACAAACTAATTTTCGACACCCTTCAGGGAGAGTTTCGTATGGTCGATTAAGTCGTTGGTTGCTTTTGTCTGTTTTCAAAAAGTTGAAAATGTAGTTGATGAAGCCCAGATCAGGTCTGATTCTCACGCGTGCAGCGTTCGCATGCGGATGATACTGGACGGAGTTTAATGTTAATGAAAAGATTCGAGGCAGTGGTATTCGAGCTAATTACTTCGATGGTTTCCCACAAAGGACCTATCGTATTTCTTGAAAATCGACATGACCGATTTGCATGTTTCGTTTCGAACTTGTTCGCTCACCAGACTCCGGTTTTTCATCAAACCCACCAAATTAAGCTTGAAAGTCGATGAAGGCAAACCATCTGTTCCGGATATTTTTTAGCTTCCGATGTTATTCTCAAAAGGATGACTGCTATTACCTGATAAAACATGTTCACTTGTTGCAAACGTCATATTTAGATCCGATTACGGCCAGCTGAACTTTACTTAAAACGGTCCTCTCCGTCTCTCCAGACGGTGTTTGAGGATGATTTAGTGTGCTGTTGTACACTTCAATTCTCTTACCTACGCTTAGTTTCCATGGGTTCATATTCCTGATTACATTGAAACGATTGTAGCCGTGTAGAGGAATTTGCGCTCATTATTGTATTTTGCACCTGGAGGAGTAGCACTGCGAGTGTTCAGTAAAGTGGCACAGACCGAGGAAATCCGTCGTTTGCACTTTGATCGTGTACTGAAATCAATCGTTGCTTCAATGTTGAAATAGATTCCTTGGTTCGCTTCTACTGCCCATTAAGTCCTTCTACCATCAGTTGAGTTGAGAGTGGACAATGAAGCTCTACTTCGAATACCAATTTATACTCGTCGCTTACATTTTACTGTTGATATCCGATCCTGGTGATTTTGTTGCATTAGGTTATCTCTGCTAGAAACCTTGTAACCAACTTAATCAATGATTTTCTACACAATGATACGGCTAAATGGTATAAGCGGAAGTGATCTTGCTTATACTTACTTTAGCCTCCTTACCCAGTAATGATTATGTAAACCAAAAATAATCATAATCTCGTGGCGGAACTCAAGAGGTTGTATGTTCCAATTCCGCCATCAGCGGTTAACTTTCTCATGTTGATAACACCATTTGTAGCTCAGTGGTTGGCCGCTTCCAGACAATTAATTGTTCAATGATCTATTCGATAAAATGAAGCAAAAAGATTATTCTCCAATGTCTTGCTAATTATTCACGCTTTAACTTTCCCTCAAAACTCCAGGAATTGGCCTGGTTTGACGAACCAGACAATCAGGTCGGTGCTTTGACGGCACATTTAGCCTCGGACGCAAATAAGGTGCATCCAATTTGTGGTTCCGCTATGGGTCAGATTGTCGAATCTGTGGTGTTACTCATTTTTTCCCTGATTGTTGCATTCTACTACAACTGGAAACTCACTCTGATCGTCGCTGTATTCTTCCCAGTAATCATGTTTGCCAGTTTCATCAATGTAAGTCCACGTTCGTGCTGGTGTGTTTACACCCGCAGTTTATTCTTTTCTGCTTAATGAATTAATTGCTGTTTCTTTATTGGTTTTAAATGGCACCAAATACAGCAGATATCCACTGTGTGGACGCGAAAGACCCTCCAGCAACCACATTCAGTTAAAAAGTGCTCTGTTGCATAATTTCCAACTGAGTAATATTTACAAACTGAGTTTTTGATGGAAGTAATAGTGTAATTCAGATTTCTGAATACACTGGTTATTTATTTGTCCCACACACGCCTGAGTCCAGACTGTGTGCCAAACAAATCACAGTACGATCATCTTTATTAAAAGAAAAACCTCCGTGATTTGCTCGAGGCGAGATACTGCTTGGTTACCCAAGTCAAAGCAGGTGAAATTTTTTTGAGGGGGGGGAGTTACAACCGGAACCTTTGGCTAACCAAAGTCTGACACGCAAGCCAACGGGGCGGTCTCCAGTCTATCAGATCACTTGCCTTTTCATCATCAGCGTCGTACAGTGAGATACTCGAAGTANACGATCCATAGGAGGTAAGTGAGAAGGTACCAGATGGACAGGGTTTCGGCCTAACTTGGCAGGGGAAAAGAAAGTGAATCTTTGTGGTCAACACACAGAGTGCACGACGCAACTGTGCATACACACCTTTTTAAGCATTCTCGCCGGATAAGAAATGACAACAAGAATTCCACTGCTGTCGGTTAATTGCGATATACTCAAATCAACCAGTTACAGACTCTTTCGGATCCCAACCTGGAAGTCGGGAGACACTTTCTCTAACTATTCTCACTGTGCATTTTTTTCATGCCTCGTTTCCTCGTCATCTGTTTACCTCCACATGGTTTCCTCCAATCTGGAGCCGCAACTACAAATAAGAGACTGCAGTAGACAGTAGCTGGGCATACGCAATACATGTCCTAACCAGCGAAGAATACTGATCGGATATGTATATGATAAAGAACTTTCCACTGAGTCATTATCAAATACGCGACGGCTTACCTCAGAGTTGCTTACACGTCCGCTCCACCCATCCCGCATTTAACTACGTAAACATTGACAGTGGAAGACCAACAGATATCTTGCATTGCATGTCGGATTAGGTCTCACTATTGATCTGCTCCACCAAATTGCGCTGCCCCTAGCTCCTGTCCAAGCTTCTCCCCTTAACGTGCGCAAACAGATGGATCGCGCAGATGATCATGAGCTCCATGAGAAGTCGATTTTTAGCAATAATCGATGAGTCGAAGAGTGAATCGCATCGGAACTAGTGCTTGGTCAGACTCGACACAGGTAGTCTAATTTTGCACGGTAGCTTGCAACTATATGTTCAATTGGGATTAACTTACCTGTTGAACACCACGTTGCCGTCCGACGAGAGCTCTGTCAAAATTGGGTGCTAGATAGAGACAGACTGATCTGCTCAGAACTGAAGTAGTCGTTCACCGTTTTCTGGACGGTAAAAGTGAAGGCCCCCCCGTAAACAGGCTTTGAATGCACTCAATTTTCGAACCTACAACATCAGGGCTGCGGCTCAGTGAGTTTGCCGTAATATTCTTCCTTTTATGAATTCGGACTGCAGTTGGTTGGTGCATATACCGACATGATGAACAAGCACCTTTGGTGTTGCTGCCCTTTCGAACACTAATTTTACCCTGGAGCCTCATCGCGCACAAAGACTGTTGACAGGTATCCAATCTGTTGGTGAGGCCTCAGTTTTACCGCCTATTACGATTCCTGCACCTCATTGACCGAAAGAATGGTCTTCATAGTCTCCTGATATGCGAAGAAAGAACCTCGAGGACAGACCCGATGCACTTAGCTGGTTTAAACCACCAGGATACTGAATTTGTGTCTCCGGGTGCCGCTATGGTGTGCAGCCACCAAGCAGGAGAACGATGTGGGGTTCTCAACCAAAGCCTTTGGTTCTGATAAGAAACCTAACCACTAGGCAGCGGGTAAGGCAGAGTAGAGGCCCAGGAACTTCTCCGTCTAATTAGGAATACGGGCCCTAGGAAAATCGGCGTAAATGAGGTAATTAGGGAATCCGATGGCTCACTGATTCACGATCAGCAACGCTGTCTTGACCGTTGGGTCGAACATTTCAAGGCTCAGTTCAACTGCCCCCCCCCATCGTCATCTGAACTTTCGCCGTCTACCCCGACTGGGAAAATACTCCCGGTTGATGCCAGTTCTCCTCCCGGGAAATAAGTTATCTAAAAAGGCATAAAGCCTCCGACCCAGACGGGCTGTCCCCATCGGCTTTTAAGGATGAAGACTCAGTGTGGGAGAGAGAACAGGTTTCAACTGAATGGTGTGAATGGGTCATCATACCGATTTACAAGGAAGGTGGTAGATCCTCTTGTGAAAACCACAGAGGAATTCATTTAATCAACATCGTCTCTAAACTCATCGCTGGGATCATACTCCGTCGGCTGTCTGCCGCATGTGAACGGTGCACACGTAAGAACCACGCCGGCTTTAGACCTGGTCAAGGATGTATCGACCACATATTCATTCTGTCAAGTTCTCTTGCATCGACATTCTTTTCGTAGATCAACGATTTCTGTCTTTCTCTATCTGAAAGGGGCTTTCGACTTAGTCGATCGTTCTAAACTCTGGTGCCACCTTTCGCTGACGTGTGTGTCCAAGGAGTTTGTTTCACTATTACAATCCCTTTATTCTAATCGCCAAAGTCAAGCCCGAGCTCACGGCACGTTTTCACTCGAGTTCACCACGAAAAGTGGTGTTCGACAGGGTTGCCCTTTCTCTCCATTTGTATTTAACTTTTATACCTATGATTATGGAAACAGTCCTATCCTCGTGCGAGNGAGTACGTACATTAAACGTGGCTAGTTTGAAAGAACATCGAAGGCGGAGAGGGCTTCGGCTGGTGGAGAGGTCGGTGAGACTTGGATGCTAGTCGAGGTAGGACAAGAGCGAACAGCGGCAGAATTTCCGCCCGAGGTATTACTGTTAGTACGATCGTCGGAAGATCCTGATAGCATTGGAAATGATCAAGAGGGGGAGGAGAAAGTGGAAAACAGGAAGATTTGCACGGTGTAGAACTATTTTCCCAGCAAGAAGAAAGCTGAGAGTGAAATCTTGTGTACCACAAAGTTCACATTTAGTTTTGTCTGCCCAAATATAATGATGGATGGTTTTGCTTTCTTTCAGTTGTACATCATCATTGTCAAAGCTCAGAGTCCGCAGTCCATTGGGGGCCGGTATGTACTTCATCGGATCATGCGCCTTTTGGACGGGGTCAAACGTCCAAGGTGACGAAATACACCTTGATGCCTAATGGAACCGGTGATCACTGCCACAACAAGGAAAATGCGGGTTTGTGGTTGGTTTAGAATCAGGGTTT